GCAAAGCGGCCACTCCGGCTCAGATCTCCGCGCGTGCATCCCACCACCCCCAAACCCTCGCGCGCGCGCTCTCTCTCCTCGTCAACGCGCGCGCCCCCGCCCCCGCCCCGACGAGAGCGATGGCCTCGCCGGCAGCGGCGGCCCCCGCGGCGCTGCTCGTCCTTCTCGCCGCGGCCCTCGCGGCGACCGGCGTCGTCGCCGACGGCTCCGACCACCGCTACAAGGCCAACGAGCTCGTCCCGCTCTACGCCAACAAGGTCGGCCCCTTCCACAACCCCAGGTGAGGCTCTCTCTCTCTCCTCCCCCGCTCAGATCCCATCGTCGGATCCGTTAGATTCGTGGGTGTGGGTTGGGTTAGTTGTTCCCGCCCCCCGATCTCGCCTCGAGGTGTGTGTGGGCTGAGTCGTCGTGGGTTTAGGTTTGTCTGGTCAAACGCAGAGAGGCTAGTTTCGGAGATCCGAGAGATGACGTTCGTAGTGATTTGGACGGGATAACGATCGATCACTGCACTGTTGACTGCCCAGATCTTCGCGTCGGGCTCTGTTTTCGTTTCAGTTTTAGCAAGTATAGGTGTTCGGAGAGCGGATTCTAGACTTGCTGGGAATCGGATCTATTTGTAAAGTAGATTTTTTATTCTTAAAGGCGATAATGTCACGCGAATGCCGTTGTCATGATATTTTCCTTTTTCCTTGCAGTGAGACGTATCGGTACTTTGACCTGCCTTTCTGCTCTCCAGGTTAGTTAGTCACAGATTCATGCTTCCTCTTCATTGCTGAAGAATCCCAGTTAGTTGTTTGCTAATAAATGGTGTTAATTACAGAGAAAGTGAAGGAGAAGAGCGAGGCACTCGGTGAGGTCCTCAATGGGGACCGGTTGGTTGATGCACCTTACAAGCTTGATTTCCGTGTGGATTATGACTCCAAGCCGGTTTGCTCGAAGAAGCTCACCAAGGAGGAGGTGGCCAAGTTTCGGAATGCGGTAGCAAAGGACTACTACTTCCAGATGTACTACGATGACCTCCCACTGTGGGGATTCATTGGTAAGGTGGAGAAGGGAGGCAAGACAGATCCGAAAGAGTGGAAGTATTACCTGTACAGGCACATCATCTTTGACATCCTCTACAACAATGACCGGGTTATTGAGATCAATGTGCACACTGACCAGAGTGCACTAGTTGACCTGACTGAGGACAAGGAAGCTGATGTTCAATTCCTTTACTCAGTCAAGTGGAAGGAGACACCCACACCATTTGAGAAGAGGATGGAGAAGTATTCCAGTTCCTCCAACCTCCCACACCATTTGGAGGTCCATTGGTTCTCTATCATAAACTCTTGTGTTACAGTCCTCCTTTTGACTGGATTCTTGGCGACCATCCTCATGCGAGTACTGAAGAACGATTTTGTCAAGTAAGGATCTATACATTACGTATTTACATTAAGTATTAAAGATATTTTGGAAGATACTCCATGCATGTCACGATATTTGCCTGAGCCCACTATGCACATGTGCTAGTTAAGCACTAAAAGAAAAGAAATGTAATGAGCAGTGACAGTAAAGACAGATGCCAGCCCATAGAACATGGAAAATTGCAGCATATAAATTATTTTTATTTCCTATGGAGATGCATTTTGACAATTGACATGACTGTCGAAACTCACTCCAAACAGTGGTTTCTATTCTACTAAACGAGCATCTATTCTTCCTCTTGCCATGTTCTTCAGTTGAGAGTAAACTAATGCATGATGCATAGAGCAAATATTTTGGTCTGAAATGGATATTAAATTATTAACTTGCTAAAGGAAGCGCATAAAGCAGATCTACTATGTCAACGGTGTTCAGATTATATGTCCTTTGTAGTGTAATGCTTATGAATTTATTACTTGAAGGTTGATCTTCTCTTTGATTTATGAGCTTGATGACTTGACTACATTTCATCTCGTAGTTTTTAGTTTAACCCTTTTTCATTTGAAGGTATGCCCATGATGAGGAAGCAGCTGATGACCAAGAAGAGTCTGGATGGAAGTATATCCATGGGGATGTCTTCCGGTTCCCCAAGAACAAGTCCTTTTTTTCGGCTGCTCTCGGCACCGGAACTCAACTGTTTGCCCTGTAAGTTTTGATGGGCCTTTTCTTGCCACATATATTATGGTTTTATTTTGCTTAACTGGAATTCTTCCTCCTGTTGTTCCTTTTTAGACATGCAGATAGCTAACAATCTTTATTTGGCACATTGCAGCACAACCTTTATATTCCTTCTTGCACTTGTTGGAGTATTCTACCCGTACAATCGTGGTGCTCTTTTTACTGCATTGGTTGTCATCTATGCTCTCACTTCAGGAATTGCTGGGTATATTGCAACCTCTTTCTACTGTCAGCTAGAGGGAACAAACTGGGTATGTGTTACATGTATACATAATACATCCCTAGACACTTCTACAATGCTAAGACTGCAAATTTAAAAGCATCGATTATAATTCTTTTATTACTAATGCTATCGTTTTATACTTCTCAGGTGAGGAACTTGCTGTTGACAGGATGCCTGTTCTGTGGACCCCTATTCCTGACTTTCTGCTTCCTAAACACTGTTGCTATTGCTTATAGTGCAACAGCAGCTTTGCCCTTCGGCACTATCTGTGTCATTGTGCTCATCTGGACCTTAGTTACATTTCCCCTTCTAGTTTTGGGAGGCATTGCTGGTAAAAACAGCAAGACTGAATTCCAAGCTCCCTGCCGTACCACCAAATATCCTAGGGAGATTCCTCCACTTCCGTGGTACCGGCAAACAATCCCGCAGATGGCTATGGCTGGGTTTTTACCTTTCAGTGCCATCTATATTGAGCTCTACTACATCTTTGCTAGTGTTTGGGGCCACAGGATTTACACAATTTACAGCATTCTCTTCATAGTCTTCATCATCCTCCTTATTGTTACTGCCTTCATTACTGTTGCACTGACGTACTTTCAGCTTGCTGCTGAAGACCATGAATGGTGGTGGAGGTACATTCATTTCCCTTTATGTTTTTTAAACAAGTACTGGCATGGGAATGCATCATATATTTCATTTTATACACTGAAACTGATATTTTGGGTATTTGCTTTTATTTATTGAGCTCTGAGATCAATCAGGTGGCTGTCAATTTTCTGCAGTTATTTTTTCGTTTGTTTGACATCTTATTCATATGTATTTCCTGGGCACCCTTCTGTTGTTTTCCCATAGTTACAATTGGAGTTGCTGATTAGCAAAGTATTATCGTAGTGAAATTTTGAGTACAATGCAATAACCAATTATGTATCATCTCAATGGATTCTAGAGGGACTAGTTCTTGAAATCTGTTGCAACTCTACATTTTTTTGTCATGAGCAAGGTATACAATGCTGAGCAGTGAGCACCACCCATTTATGGATATTCTACCAATCCTTATGTTCTCTCATCCATCTATTTATTATCTAGGAACTCCAGTTTAATGCTGTTCTTTTGTACTAAATGCTGAACAACAATATGATTTTTTTTCTGCCCTTTCTCTTATACAGGTCATTCCTATGTGGAGGATCAACTGGATTTTTTGTCTATGGGTATTGTCTGTACTACTATTATGCACGATCAGATATGTCTGGATTTATGCAGACATCATTCTTCTTCGGCTACATGGCTTGCATCTGCTATGCTTTCTTCCTGATGCTGGGCATGATCGGTTTCCGTGCCGCATTGTTCTTTGTCCGTCACATATACAAATCCATCAAGTGTGAGTAATACTGTTGTCAAAGGCTGGAGAGCAGCGGAGTTGTACTCCTTTTTGGTGCCACTAAGAAGTCCCAGTATAGAAAAGGTTAGCTCTCGCACAACAGGAGCAGCTAGAGATTGCCATGTTTCAGGTTAGGCCATTATTCATAGGAACAGGTAATGAACCTATAAATTTGTTCTCCTTTTGTGCGACTGCTGTGATAAATCGTCTTTTCTTTGGTCATGTAATTCTCCCTGTGATGTCTAGACATTTTCACGTTGTTGATGCATGACCTACCTGAGCATCTCTGGAAGATCATGTCATGTCTTATTTCCTATAGCAGAATAACTGAAGTGTAGAGATGATGCCTCTAGAGCGGCTTGTCTATTTATACGTGTACCCACCGCTGGTTATGTATTGTCAAATATTGAAATACTGAACCATTCTTTTTTTTTCACTTTTGAGAATCATGATCATTTTGATTGATAGTGCGAAGCAGCTTCCAATGTGCAACTAGGCTTGACACGTTATATTTGTTGATGTGATTCGTTCTTCATAATCCAGCGAAGCTTGTTCTGCTTTTGGACTGCATTTTCTGAAAAGTTACATCTTTTCTATTGCTAATGAGACAGAAAAACCTATTCCATCTGTACTAAGATAACTTTATTTTAACATCTAACATTTGTCCCAAAACAAATTCTATGCTCTTACCTATCATTCAGTCTAAAATTAAGTTTTTATCATTTCAGTATCTCTTATCTACCCATCCATTAATATAACATTTCTATTAATTAGTGCCACTTTTTTCTGTGCTAATTTGAACCCTTATGTCTGAAGTTATTTTGAGCCCTTATGCCTGAAGTTATTTTGGGACAGATGTAAGTACATAAAATAATTCTTAAAATTGTACTATAATTAAGCTTCGGGGTATAATTTAGATAGTACGAAGAAGTTTCAACCCTCTCTTAATTGTAGAAAATGACTAGCATGATAGCCATCGATATGGATGTATTAGAACGCCACTTGGATTATCACTTGCTCTGATCCACATCGCATCGACACTCCGAGAAGTCACTACTAGCGGTGACCGTTAAGATTAATCTGTGATGTAACGCAAAGAACCAAGCCTATGACTGCATGAGCTTGGCCGGTCTCGCTATGCTACAAAACCAGGATGGCGTGATATGGGCCGCCTCCCCTTCTCCTTAGATCAGCATAGGCTTGAGTAACGGCTCTCCTTTTCCCGTCAAATCGCAAATGAACTTCCGTTACGATCCAAAAACAAATCCGAGAGGAAAACGAGAACGATCAGGCGCGATGCGCGCCTCAAAATATCCACCTTTTCCTCCTCTTTTTTGAGAAAATTCTGCGAAAGCATCGAATAGTTTTGTACTGGTCACCGACGACAACCAAATAACCAACCGGTGTCACGGCGAATTCCGTCAACACCGCACCCAAGTCGTCGTGTTTATATATGCTTTGCCAATTTGCCATAAAAACCCCCACGAAATCCTCCAATCCATTGCCGCAGTCCGTCCAAGAGAGGGGGACACTCTGCCTCCAGCCATGAGCGACGGCGGCGCAGGCGCCAAGGGCGCGGGCTTCGGCATGCCGCGCGTCGGCATGGGCACGGCGGTGCAGGGGCCGAGGCCGGAGCCCATCCGGCGCGCCGTGCTCAAGGCCATCGAGGCCGGGTACCGCCACTTCGACACCGCGGCGCACTACGAGACCGAGGCGCCCATCGGCGAGGCCGCCGCCGAGGCCGTGCGGTCCGGCGCCATCGCCTCCCGCGCTGACCTCTTCATCACGTCCAAGCTCTGGTGCAGCGACGCGCACCGCGACAGGGTGCTCCCCGCGCTCAGGCAGACGCTATGGTATGTATGCCCCCCCCCCCCCCCCCCCTTCTCTTTGCCCCCGTATAAGATTCCGGCGGAATCAAGTGAAGAATTGTGATTTTAGTAGTGGATTATTACGAGTTGTTTGGAGTAATCGGTTGGGCCAGGCCTATAAGAAAAACAAAGGCATTATCTTAAATAAAGGAAAATTTATTGTGGAATTAGGATATGTGATAGGGACCACCTATACATTTGTCGACAAATTTTCTCCTAAAAATTTGATAGATGTAATTATAATACAATTGTAGTGTAATTACACTGTAACTTGCATATAACTATATAACTATAGTGTAACTTGTACGTAAGTTTCACGTAATTTTGAATTGTTAGATCTATTATAAGATTTGTTTTGATGAGGAAGAAAAAAAATCACAGCACACACACATGTGAAATAGTTTGTTCCCACAACCTCTATTTTACCAAAATAACATGTTACGGAGAGATTTTTAAAAGTTACATAGAAGTTACATTATAGTTACAGTGTAATTACATGCATGTTACAGTGTAATTACACTATGATTGTACTGTAATTACATCTGTCAAATTTTTGGGGGAAAATTTATCGACAAATATATAGCAAAATTGTATGTGATATTATTCTTTAATCTTAACAAGACAAATTATAAAAAGTCTTACTCTTTGGTTGTCGTGCTGATGCTCATCTTTGAGTATAGGAATGCCTTGAGTATATCACGTGCCGACCACTCCTATGCCTTGAGTATAGGGATGCCTTGAGTATCTAGTTGGTAACTAGTTTCTAATAATTTAAAAAAGCTAGAAAACCTAATTTCTAATTTCTAGTTTATTTTTTGAATTTTGAATGTAGTTGAAAAACCAAACTGTTTGAGTGCTTTTAATTTTGGAAGATACTGCATTAGCCACGAGACAAATTCTTTCATTACCATCTTGGCTGCCACCTCCAAACAGATATTAGTCCCTCATTAACTGCAGTGCATTTAATTTCTATCTGAGGCACCATGCGACTAATCAACTGATTATGAAAGGTTAAGACTCACCTTAATTAACAGAAAGCACATGCTCATCCCACACGTATATATGCAGGAACCTTCAGATGGAGTACGTGGACTTGTACCTGGTGCACTGGCCTGTGTCCATGAAGCCGGGCCGGTACAAGGCCCCCTTCACCGCCGACGACTTCGTGCCGTTCGACATGCGGGCCGTCTGGGAGGCCATGGAGGAGTGCCACCGCCTGGGCCTCGCCAAGGCCATCGGCGTCTGCAACTTCTCCTGCAAAAAGCTCGACACCCTGCTCTCCTTCGCCACCATCCCTCCCGCCGTCAACCAGGTTGGTTTGCACAATTCACAATGCTGCAACAACCAAAAATGTTATAACCTTTTTTTAATGGTTGATTTGCTTATTGTGTTGGGTTTGCGTTGCGTTTGGTTTGTCACGGTACGTACGTACGTGCAGGTGGAGGTGAACCCGGTGTGGCAGCAGAGGAAGCTGAGGGAGCTGTGCAGGGAGAAGGGCGTCCAGATCTGCGCCTACTCGCCGCTGGGCGCCAGCGGCACGCACTGGGGCAGCGACTCCGTCATGGCCTCCGCCGTGCTCCGCGACATCGCCCAATCCAAGGGCAAGACCGTAGCCCAGGCACGTCACGTCTACATTTGCACGCGTGTGTTCGTGTCGCGCCGTCGTCTCAGCAGCAACTGACGTGTGTGTGTTGATTTGGCAGGTGTGCCTGAGGTGGGTGTACGAGCAAGGGGACTGCCTGATCGTGAAGAGCTTCGACGAGGCGCGGATGCGGGAGAACCTGGACATCGTCGGATGGGAGCTGACGGAGGAGGAGAGGCAGAGGATCGCCGGCATCCCGCAGCGGAAGATCAACCGTGCCCTCCGCTTCGTCTCCGACCACGGGCCCTACAAGTCGCTCGACGACCTCTGGGACGGCGAGATATGAGCACTCGCCGGCGACCGCTTCGTGTTTCCAGGCGCCGGCCGACGTGCGTGCTGCTCTGAGGAACGTAACAACAAAAACTGCGGCTCTTGACGATCGTGTTGAATAAAGCAAAGTGTGACGATTTCATCGGCTCTGATTGCATAATTCCGGAGTGCACACGCTAGCACGTGCGAGAGAGAGAGATATAGGTACATCGAGCGTGTCAAATCGATCAAAATTGTTATAGACGAGGCCGAGCCGAGCCAAGGAAAAGCTTCCATTAGAGCATTTACAGTGCTTCTTACTCGCATGCCAAGTCTCACATGTCAGTTGGCTCAAGACCAGTATTAGACACTCGTGTCACAATACTGTAGCCTTAAGTGGGGTCTACAAAAATACAGAAGTCCCTTCTCTCCTCTTTTTTCCCCTCTATCATGCCTTCCACTCTCTCTCTCTCTCTCTTTCTCTCTCTCTTTCCCTCTCACGCTCGAGCGGCGACTTGCACGCTCTCCTCTTCTCCTTCCACTGTGGCGGGGCGGCCGGGCGGAGCAGCAGCCTAAGCGGCAATAGCGTCAGGAGAAGCGGTGGTCCGAGCAGTGATGGCGCTAGGCGGGGCGGCCATATCCGATCTGGGCTCGCTAGATCTGGCCTTGGGCGATGGCAGCGGCTCGTCGGATCTCCCCTCTCCCCTCAGCTTGCTAGTGCCAAATCTCATCTCCCCTCCTCGTCGGCGCCCGTTGTCCAAGGCGACGACGACGAGCGGCGGCGTGGCCTATACCCTCTCCTCGGTGGCGCCTTCCGTCCTCTTCTCCGTCCGGCAGCCCTCCTCCCTTGGCCGTCGTGGGCTATCCAGACGAATCCCTGACAAATCTGACGAGAAACATGCGACTCATTTAGGCTCCATTTTCTTCACTTGGTAACGGAAACATCCGACGTGGCGTGGAATCTTGGCTGGGGCTGCCTAAGGTTGAATGCCAGTTATACGCATTGTGAACGCCGGCCGTGCCATCTGCCACCGGCACGTACGAACCGAACGTCGCTAGCTTTTGCGTCGTCGCGTCGTCCTCGTCGATCTCGGCGGAATCAACCGCCCAACCAACCGAACCGCGCCTCGTCTCGTCACGAGCCGCCGTGACAGCGTCGTGCCGGTGCAGGGGCCCCTGGCAGAGCGTGCTTACGCCGATACGTGCGACCAAAAAGCGGCTCGCATCGATCACGTCTTGAGAAAAGAGAAGAATCAAACAAAAAGGAAGAAGAAAGAAAGCGTACTAGGGGCAAAGCTTTGCAAGAGTGTATTACATATATCGATCATCTCATGGCATCTCACCTCACCTCACAGCTTTTATGGAATCACATGTTGGTCGCCAATGCAAGCTTGTCAAGTTGCCACCATAGCTAAGCTAGGAGTACTAGGTAGGGCGGTGTCTAGCTAAGGAACCAGTAGTAGTCATCGGAGGAGCATTTGCTTTGCAAATGCTTTGCAAGCGGCTAGAGTAGGTCAAACTACATTGTCACAATCTATTCGACCGGGAGCTCCAACGTTGGAGCACTCTGTAGTCTGTAGTACTCCATCGATGATTATTTACCCAAGAGCGTGCTCTGACACATTGGCATTGCCCCCTTGCAAAACAATTCTGAACATTTCGACCGTACAAACAAAATCCTTGCAAAACTTGTATACTGTACTAGCACTGTACCTCGCCGGATGGTCGTACGATGTGGCCAAGTCACAGGCACACAGTGGCACGACACATTTGACTGACAACGCCATCGAAGAGATCGAATGCAACTGGCAAAACGACTCGAGTACCCTTCTGGTAAAAGTCACCGCGACGTCGCCAGGTTTGTTTCAGATGAGGCAAAGTTTTTACTACCGAACAGGCCATGTGGTGAAGCCCAAGAACACACGTCCCCACAGACCGGCCCAGCCATGTATAAAATCAGGGCATATTCCCTCATCTCGCTGTGCAGGAGGACTGGGCGAAAAAAAAGAAAGGAAAAAAGCGAAGGTAATCGAGCGTTTTTACTGCGGCAGAGTTCACGGGGAATTCAGAGCGCACTGGGTGACGAAATGGATTGCGCGCTGCAGTTGCTCGCAGCTGCGCCGACCGGGAAGGGGGGGCTCTGCGCCTGGATCGTGCGGTTAAAAGCAGGATGAGTAAAGGCGTTTTTTGGTTCCTTTTGCGAAAGGAACGGCATCCTCTGAATCCTCCTCCTGACGCCGCTGCAGCCTCTTTTCAGTGACGCACTGATGCTGTAAACTACTGGCTCAGATTGATTATTACTCCAGGCTGAGTCCAGCTCGATGTAAACGAGTCGAATACTCGAACGATGTGCATCATGCAATGGCATCCCTGTTGCCACAACTACTGTATTTGTTTGCTCACTAATAAGAGTCTAAGATGAGTACTGTATATGCATTGAGGTATGGTTAAAGAGATCGTTTCATCTACGTACCTAGAATATTGTACTACTACGTCTTTGATAGCGGCTTTGTCCAAACGCTGTAATTTGATATTTTGTGTGTGTGTGTGTGTGTGTGTGTGTTAGAGCTCTAATACAATCGCAACACAAATATGGCTATATATTTCTTAAGTAAATCCAAGAGACATTACTCCCTCATCCCATGATATAAATATTTTTTATTCGTGTTTATCCAGATATATATGTAGCCAGAAATCCTTTTATTTTGAGATACAATGCTACTTCGTCCGTCAATAAATATGTTCACTTCTAGCAATTGGGATTTCTCAATTCATGAAGCAAAGGTACGTAGGTAGGGAAATAGAAATTAATATATTTTAGTATAGAGAAAATACAACGAAATTAAATCAATCCGCATGTGACTATTAGAAATATCCTACTATTTTTTTATCCACGGTAATACTATAATATATTTTGTTTTCAGCAATGAGTAACGGATCCCATATATACATATTTGAGTGTGCTCACACTATCTTAAAATAATTGTTGGCTATGTTCCCGAATAGTAAAAAATTGGTACATTTTGGGATGGAGATATAAAAAAAATGCATAATCATTTTAAGAAAAGAAAATGTTTGACTTGCCCCCCTAAACGTTTGGTGTAGCATGCTTCCCCTAATCCCCCCTGACTCTCGTGGCAACGTTGTATCAGGTGGCACTCAATCATCCAGGTGGGATAATCAACTTATATATATATAAAGAAAGAAATATCTATACCTATATGTCGTTTGCTTCATATTCTTTTCTACTTGCGCTCCTCTCTAGGGTCAACCTATATATCTACGCCACCCGTGCCAAGGAGGGAAGAGAGGAGTATGCACAGGTGCCGGAGGAAGGAGGGGAGCAGAGAGGATGAAAGCCGGTGACGGAGAAGCTAAAGGTGGAGCCCGCAATTCAGCCTGCAAATGGGGCGGGGCAGGTAGGCCCGTTCCCTATACCCTCTGACCCATTTGCTTTTGGGCACCAGTTGAAACCAGAGACAAACATTGGCCCGCCCCTCTCTGGTGGCACTGGTCGCCCCGTTAGGTTCCTACTCCAGACAACATAACAGTGCACTTGTCCAAGCAGCGACATGCAAAGATAGCAGAGTTCAGTAGTTGATAAGCATCAAATAAAATGCAGCCGGACAAGATGATAATATAAATTGACAAATCATGGTTAAACAATTCAGAATAGAAGCAAAAGAAAAACAAATTGAATTGGATTCAGAAAATTCAATCTAGAAATTTTAAAGAAACAGATATAACTCCATTAACTTTCCTAGATGTTCCATTCAGAATTTGTGATTCCTTTGCACAAATCTTCGCATTCTAAAACACAAACATCACTACTAGCAACCAGTAGTACTTCATCAAGCAAATGACACCCAATCTAACAACATGCTCTTCTGCCCAAGACGCAATAACAAAGAACACTCACACTCCATGCTCATAATCCTGATGATCGCCGGCGTCGTCGCTGCTGAAGCTGCAGCCTGAAGCAAGGTTGGGCTAAATCAATAATGGACAGCGGGAGCGCATCGCCGCCTAGCTTGTAAGCTTGGAGCCGCTGCTACCGTCTCGATCCAGCCGGGCCGGAGCCCGGGACTGCGTCGCCCCGAACCCGAAGCCGCCGCCGCCGCCGCTCCAGCCGGGACGCGTCGCCCCAACCTGAAGTCGTCGTCGCCGTTGCCGCCGCCGCCGCTGCCGCCTCGAGCCCTCGATCCAGCCTGGGGCGCGTCGCCCCAACCTGAAGCCGCCGCCGCCGCCTCGATCTAGCTGAGGAGTGCGTCGCCCCTACGCAGTGCTGTGATAAGCCGATTACGGGTCGACCCAGGGTGCACTGGTTCCTGGACTCGTTTGACCCTAAAATTATATGGGTCGACCCATAAACCTTCTGGAGCCGAATTTTGAGGGTCGGGCCAGCGGTCCAACGGGCCGACCCGCCCCATTTGCAGGCTGACCCGCAATGGTGATGGGGGTGATGTACACAACTGAACCAACATAGGCAAGGTCTGACGCTACCAAATTAACAAAAGGGGCAACCAGGTAGACGTGGCAACAGGTAGGAACTTGTCAACGCCACCACCTTGTGGCCGCTTAAATTCCCTTCCACAATTACTTCTTCCCGGTGATGAGGGGGCATATTCCTTCTCGCCCCAAGATGGCAAACTACGCCTCTTCTTCCCTTCCTGAGATTTGCCCCTATCGCCCCCTCCATTCTCTGTGGCACTGTGAATTTGGGGTGCAATCCACGTGCCTTTAGCTGCCAGTCGCCATGGGAGAGGATGGAAGAAAGGGGAAGGAAAGGGAAGCCAAGGCATCATGGCATCCTACAGCTCTATGAGAGAGAGAGAGAGAGAGAGTACGGAGGGAGGAGGAATGGGAGGACATCTTCAGGCTAACCCAACCATAGAGATGCTTCAGGATGGAGAGATCAAGAAGAGAGGATGCTAGAGAGGTAAACAAGCAGCAACAGCAACACTAATAGGTCGGCCTCACCAATTTTTTTTATTTTATTTTGTTAATTGGATTATCACATCAGTTAAATTATTGCCTACACATGTTACGTGAAACCAAAACCGCATTGGATTGAGTGAGAGAGTACTTCATTCGGATTGAAAAGTTTAGAGTTAAAAATGTCTAATTTTGCGGTTTATGGGGTAAACCGGACTAGGCCAAAAGTTCAGTGTAAGTCAGACATTTCCGTTTCAAAACAGCGGTTTATTGATGCCGCGATACACCATTAATTTATTTTATAGTGATTGAAGTATCATTTACAGATTGATGCCGCGATACACCATTAATTTATTTTATAGTGATTGAAGTATCATTTACAGATTGATGCCGCGATACACCATTAATTTATTTTATAGTGATTGAAGTATCATTTACAGATTGATGCAGCGATACACCATTAAGTAGTAACCTAGAACCATTACCAGTCCAGATTAAAGGAGCAACTTTTCCAGTAAAAAAAAAAGAGCAACTTTTTAGCACCCTAAAAACTACTCCCTTTGTTTCGAAATGTTTGACGCCGTTGACTTTTTAGCACATGTTTGACCATTCGTCTTATTCAAAAAATTTAAATAATTATTAATTCTTTTCCTATCATTTGATTCATTGTTAAATATATTTTTATGTAGGCATATAATTTTACATATTTCACAAAAGTTTTTGAATAAGGCGAACGGTCAAACATATGCTAAAAAGTCAACGGTGTTAAATATTTCGATACGGAGGGAGTATAATGGTGCCAGGGTGCATTCATGCAAAAGTTGCAAATACCACCTTTGATAATTTTCCCAACAATGACATCGATCGACCGAAGCTCGAAACGACCTACGAAACTACGTACACTTCATCAATTTGCGGCTAAAAAAAAAGATGAATTACACCGTCGTCACCCAACCCCCCTTGCTTTACATACATACGCGTGCACGTACACACGTGAACGTACAAGTTGTACATGTGCATGCATGTACATATCAGCTAGATGCCGGCGCCGACGCCGCCGCCCCTCAGGTGCTCGCGCGCCACCGCCGACGCGCCGTGGCCGTCGATGGCGGCCATGGACATCACGGCGAGCGAGCGCTGCCGGCACGCGTGGCAGGTCACCTGCGCGATCAGGCGCGCCGCGTGGTCCCGCAGCGCGAGCGCCTTCTCGAGCTCCCCGCGCGCCCGGTGGCGCGCGCGGCGGGCGTCCTCCAGCGCGCGCTCCGCCGCCGCGGCCTCCTCGCGCGCCCGCTCCCGCGCCGCGTCCGCCGCGGTCTTCTCCTCCAGCGCGCGCCTCACCTCTTCCCGCTGCTGCTCCTCCTCCCCTCCTGCCGCCGCGGCGCAGGCGCCGCCGCCGCCGGACGCCGCGGCGACGACGGCGGCGGGGCCGATTGAGAGCTGCAGCTTCGTCGTTGTCATCGTCGTCGCGTGTTGCTCGTGGGAGGAGGAGCCGGTGGTCGTGGAGTTGGACGAGAACGCGGCGGCCAACGGCGCCGTGGTGGACGCCGGGAGGAGCTGCAGCTCAGGCGGCGGCGGCGGCGGATGATGGTGATGATGCCGCAGCGCCGCGGGACGGATGACCGGCAGCGTCGTGGCCACGGGCACGACCTCACCGCGCACACGTCCAGAGTTACACGCATCCTGGTGCTCTATGAAGCTCTCCACTCTGCAACCAACACACACAACCACCGCCATTAGCACACACTAATCATACCACTTAACCACCATCTTATCACCAAACACAACAAAAACACGGCGATCGATCTGATCGACTGATTGATCATCTGTACATGTAGATCGATCGAAAGCAACGCATCGATCTCGAACAAGACACACACTGACAGATCGATGAGAGCATGAGACAACCAGATGAAACCCATGGGATGGACCACCATATGCCATCGTTAAACCCATCAAGGAAGCTAGCTACGTTCCATTGCTGACTAAATGGCCACGCGCGACCAGTCCGTCCAAGGGACCAACCAACAGCAGCACTGTACACATATACTACACACACAGCTAGCTAGTGATGGCGCCTGCACTTACGCCATTATTGATCGAGCTAGAAAACCAGTCGTCGACGACGACGACGACATATGGAAGAAGCAACGATCATATCGGTATCTGCAGGGGAAAACATGCTGCATATGCTGCTGATGCTGCTGCTCGTCCGGTATATTTATGGGCTGGTCAGTGACAAGAGAGTGTGGCTTAGCTACTGCCAATTATTAAAGCGATCGCCTAGTGGGAAGCTCTTGTCCTGGAGAGAAAAAAACAGAGGAGGAGATGATGCTGTTGTGTGTGCATGGATGATGGATGGGTGCACATGGTGGCCTGTGTATAGCTTAGCTCCGGGCGATCTGGTGATGTGCCCCGTCCGCGCGTGGTTGTACTTTGGTGGTGGATCCAGGGGTCCGAGGAATGGAGCAGCTTGTCTTTACCTACCTAGCGACCTCTGCTTCGTCACCTTGCACCTTGCCTCGTCCACATCATCTCACTCCCTAGGACATCTACATGTAGTACTAGTGTCCGTTCTATTACGGGATCAAACACACATTCTAATTCTATTACTGTAAATCTAGGCAGGTCAGGATTATCCTATCACGTACTTGATTGCTATATTTGATAGAGATATTATATACTTCATTCTTAAATAATTGGCTATGTCACTATACAGGTTTAAACTTCTGGTAATTTTTCTGGAAAAAAATAAATACTACTTAAAAATATGTTATATTACCGAAGTGTACATCATCATTAATATAACCACACAAGTTTTCTTAATTATAATGTTCTCCCTCCGTTTCAGGTTATAAATCGTTTTGACTTTGATCAAAATCAAACTGCTTTAAATTTGACTAAGTTTATAGATAAATATAGTAATATTTACAACACCAAATTAGTTTCATCAAATCAATAATTGAATATATTTTCGTAACAAATTTGTTTTGGGTTGAAAATGTTACTACTTTTTCCTATAAACTTGGTTAGATTTGAAGAAGTTTGACTTTGACAAAACAACTGATAATATGGATTGGAGGAAGTAATTATTTAAAAGTAATTTGTGGTTAAAGTTACGTGACGATAGCAGTTACTACAGCCACCTGATAAGTTTTCACAGAATTAAGATCCATAAATAGCTGCTAGTAACTCGCATGCTAAAATGCTACTCCTACAAGCTATTAATGGCTGATTAGCTCTGGCAGGCATTATGTTTGCACATGAACAAACAGTGGCGCTCATGTTTTACTTACTTTGAGTTAGGACTACAACAACCAGCCATCTTATCAGCGTAACTGGCCGGAAGCTGGAGCTATCGCTGCTACTACTACACTTAGCTTAGCTGTTGGGTGAAATGCGCAGAGACAGTTTTTGGTCGATATGCGGTCGCTTTCCTGTAGGAATTTTCGGTCCTACCGCAACCCGCCACCGAAACGATCATATGCCAGGCGTCTGCCCTGCTTTTTCATCTCTTCCATGATCTCATCGATCTCCTCTGATTTAATTTTTTCTCTCCCTTTTTCAGTCTAGCTAGAAAATAGTTTTCGATTAATCTCGATGGATATATGCGTACTACTGGACCCTAGCTACCTAGCAGGATGTATGTATGTAAGTGATCAGCATGCATCAACAGCAAGAACCTGAAGTAGTAGTAATAGTCCCGATCCAATTAGTCCGTACATAAATATGCTCTTTCTTTGGTCAGCTAGCTAGCCAGTTAAACAACGGATCGATCAGATCAAACTATAGCTAGTCAATTGGTGTCGGCTACAAAAACACACATCCTTTTAATTTTCTTTTTTTCTTTTTTCTCTCTCCGAGTGGCGATATCATATCTACAGCCCAGTGGCAGGTTTTAAACCCTGAAACGTACCATAGCTTTTGTCTTATCTCCATGCAACCCTGTCTCCCACCAAAAACAATTCGAAATTCATCTCTTTAAATCTAAATACTCCAAGATCTAATTACGTATGCACATAATCATGATATATATCCAACCACCCAAACGTCATCGTATCAATCGCTAATCATGGATGGTTAGCGTTCGTACGTAGTAGTAGTAGTGCATGCGTCGCCGGCCGCCATGAACGCTACGTAGGTTTGAGGAGGAGGAGAGGGGGTGGTGTACGTACCGGGAGAAGACGCGGCCGCAGTCGCAGGAGTGGCCGCGGGTGCCGCAGGTCTTGAGGTGGGCCTTGTAGTCGGACTGGACGGCGTAGCCCTTGGCGCAGCGGGCACACACCCACTGCCGCCGGCCGCCGTGCTTGCGCCGGAAGTGCTTCTTGATGCCGACGAGGTCGCCCAGCGCGTGTGCCGGGTCGTGGTGGAGGCAGCTCGGCTCCGGGCACACGAACACGCGCTTCCGCGCCCCTCCGCCGCCCGCGCCGCCGCCGGCGCCGCCGCCGCCACCCGCGGCGCCGCCGTCCTCCGCCGCCGTCGCCGCCGCGGGGCGCTTGACCAGCCGCCACGGCACCTTGTGCCGGCGCCGGTGCATCTGCAGGTTCTGCTCCCGCTGGAACCCCTGCCCGCAGATCTCGCACACGTACCTGTCCGACTCCAGCAGCGTCCTCGGCGACAGCGCCACCACCTCCGCATCTGGGTCTACGTACACACGGGCTCCATGATCGAACACCATGCATGCATGATGGTATCAATGTCTCCAACACATACGTATATACGTACCTGGCGTGCCGGGAGGGCGCCTCTTGCGCTTGGCGGGGGAGGGCTGGTCGGCGGCGGCGGCGGCGAGGCTGGAGGAGTTCGACGCCGGCGGTGGAGGCTGCTGCTGCTGGGAGGAGGGTGAGGAGGACGAGGTGGAAGAAGAGGCCAACATTTGGTGGTGGCTCTTGACCAGTGCCATAACTGCAAGGAGCTTTTCTTCTTTTTAAGGGAGAGGATCACTAATAAGCTTAAGCTTAAGCTTATCACCACAATACCACTTCTAGAGCTAGAGCTACCACCACAAGAGGCTAGATCACAGCAGCTACTTCTACTACTACTACTACTGCCTCTGCAGCAGCTGCCTTGGTTTGGTTCTCTTTTTGCTCCTTAGTGGGATAGGGGTGCCAAGGGAGGCTTTATGGGGTGGAAAGGTGAAGGTGCATTGTGTGTGTATGTGTTTGTGTTGTAGAAAGGGCTGGGGCATGAGGGGATCATATATAGCTTAAGCCAGGGAGAGAGAGGGGTTGTGTGTGTGTGTGTGTGTGTGTGTGTGCAAGGTGAGATGAAAAAAAGGGCTTTGTCAATATCTCTTTGCTTTTGTGCCTGCATCGGTGTGTGGGTGTTGGCCCCCTTTTTTTGAAGGGGGAATGTGTCTCATATACTCATTGGATGGGCAGCTTTTATCAAGGCTTTGTTTGTTTGTTTTGGGGGTTTATTAAGATGGGATCATGAGGGGGCTAGTCTCTGCCAAATCGATCTCGCCAACGCAATTAATGGAGCACTGTCCATTACCTTCATCATAACTTGATTAGCAAGCTGATGACCCTCTTTGATTAGTCTCTGCGTACGTTTTAATTTCCTCTCGACCCCCCTCTTTGCCTTCTTTTCTGTTGTCCTGACAGGAGTTTGGCAGCTAGATGGAAATTCAGTTCACGCATTCTTCTTTATTTATCTAGAAATACATATATATACACACTAAAAAAAATCTACTCCAAAACGCCACGTATATACGAATGCAAATATATATATATATATATATATATATATATATATATATATATATATATATATATAGTTGTTGATGCCGTGGTAGATAGCTGACCGGAGATGAAATTAAAGCTAGTGTTTTTGCCAATGATAAACTATGCAGACGAACAGCTCATCCTTGTCACCGAAGTGATTGCTTTGCTGAAAAAACGCCCCAACTGTTAGTGATCAGCAATGGGGGTGGTGATGGGGGAGAAGATTCTTCACACATGCAGGCGATCATTTTTCTCCCACAAGTGCCCCCGGCCCTTGCCTTGATCCTATCTAGGATCTCCCTTTTCTCTCTCTCGCTAAATAAACTAGCCTCGCAATGAGATGGCATTGACATCTTTCTCTCCTCAAACAACTAAAGTTTATTTGTCTCTTGGCTTTTCCTCCCTTTCGACTTTCTGCTAAGATGGCCGCATGTGTAGCTCATTAACAAAATTTTAGAAGTAAGTTGCACACACATGTCTTTTTTAATACTACCATGCATCATCCGGCTACTGCTACTCGATCTTTACAATATTCAGAAGTTGTCCTTTTGGCGAAGCTGCATGCAGTAGTACGCATAGATTCGATGAGGAGGAGGAGAAAAAGATGGCATCTTTTTTTGGAGGAAACTAAACGATGGGCCGGCGAACAATCCATCTTCTTTTGAACAGAATTTTGGCAATTACTTTTGGACTTTGATTGAAACTAACAAATACTAGTACTGTACTTTGCACAATAGCTGCTAGTATAGTAGACTAGTAGCAGCTGATTTTCATGACGAACAGAGGACTGGCCCTACTGAATTCTTCTATCTTTGTTATTGATCTCAATGCTAGAAAACGTCATATAAAATTAATAGAACGCATGGCCAGATTGTTTGGTAGTATTTGTTTTGATCTCCTGTATGAAAATAGTGTATTCATTGCATATATAAATTTAAGGGGAAAATGACAAAATGTCATAAACTATAGGTGTCTGGCATTCCTTTCCTCATACATACGCATGCATGCAAACAGGACTGAAGAAACTGTACTATATTCTGAAGTGTTAATTCGATGATGAGTGCCATCTTGTTCTCTCTCTCTGGCTGGTTAGCACTAAGCATCATCATCAACAAGTAGACTACCGTATATTAACATGCGACTTTGTGTCGTCGTACGTTTATTGATTTTATATAGCAAAAAGAAGGTGTTATTAATAAGAGGTTATCAAGAACATATCGTTTCGAGCAGTACCTTTCTCCCTCCTCGTTCGCCTGTTTCATCATTTAGGTCTCCATGCTATGCAACATGCTCGCCAAAGTTTGCAAAGGTAGAGAGCTGCTTTTATCTCTGGGTTGCTCTCAGTTATCGCAATCATCATGCTATAGCATTTGCAAGTTCGTGCATGCCAATATATATTGCCAATGCCAATGCCAATGCCAATGTGTGTACATGTATATGCGTAGTAGTAGTAGATCAATAGGATGTCCTCGTGCTCTCGAATCCCAACCAGGTTACCAACATGAACTAGTGCCTACGGCCATGTGTGTCGATCTATAATTATTCTCGTGCTTTTTCAGACTTTCAGGCTTCAGAGTCCATGCCGCCATCCTTCAGAAAGATAAATTTTCACTGTGCAAGTATACTGGGGAGCTCGCTTTCAAACATAAATTTCAGTTCAGCAACAGTGTGTTTGTCATGTCATCAGCTAAACACATCTTGCATTTCAGAGTTTCTTTTCAGCTAAAGACACTGGTGATCACCGATATATCGGGTACCTTTGTAAAAAGTAGGGAGACCATTTTAATTGCTAATTGTGGATTTCACAAGGGCATTACACAAAGTGAGTTTCCTTCTCTGAAAGAGAGAACAACGGTCGTTTGTAACTTGTATAACATAACCTTTGTCAGTTTATTAGCATAGGACATAGATTAGATATAGCATGCTAGCTACATGTCCTCATTTTTTAAAGAGTAGAATACAGAGCCTGTACTTAAAACTTGAAATAGGCTAAATGTTGGTTTATAAACCTGTAAAATATGTATTTGTATCCCTTATATTGGTTTGGTGTATCGCCGAGGTCCAAAGTGCATATGATGCAACTCGGGCACTGACGTAGCCATCCATAGACCATAGTTGTGAGAATTTTACATTTACATCCTCAATTAGAGTATGCCCTAAAATTGACTCCTACCACTTCCAAACCGACTCTCACCATGCCCATGGGAGACGAGGGGAAGAAACAACGATTAGGATAGTTGTGATCATCGGCAATTGAAGGTCTAGGGAGACGAATTGAAATAGATGACACGATCGGGAGAATAAGGTGATCATGCAAATCCGGTGTAGCGTTATTGTCACCATGATCCTCACGCATTCTAGGTCCACCATCTGCCTTCACGACGACAATCACGTCGCATCGGGTTCGTGGGATCATCCTCACCCTACCTTCTATCTCCGTCTCTTCACCTCCTCTTTCATAGGTATGTTTTTTTTTGCGGGGTCATAGGTATGTTTTGTTAAGAGTGTCGCGAGTCAATTTGAGAGTATATTGTAGTGGAAGGGCCTAAATGCAAAGTTCTTAGCATCGTGAAAACCGTGTGGTTACCCTAAGGTATAACGTGGTTTCAAAAACTGAAAAGGTTATCGCACGTGATCATCGCGATAACTACACGGTTTTGTAAACAGCAGCCGCAGCAGCAGCTAGCCGTAGGAATTCCCTGGTTACGAATTCCGGAGCACTACCATCGCTAGACAAAATCATTTAGACCAAATCAAATCACCCCCAAATTCCTCTCCCCAAAAGAGAAATTTGGAACCTCTTTTGATCACTCCTCCATGCATCATCCCATTCCCATGCAGTGCTAGTAGCCGTAGCCACCGATTTACAATTAGGCCATGCATGCATAGCTGTCGCAGTAACTTTCTTTCTTTCCCCTCTCTCTTTCTCTGTGTATTCCAGGGCCGTCGTCTCTCTCCAGTCCGGTGTCCAACCCCGCACAGGCAGCCGCACCTGAGCGCGTAGCTCGCCTTTCTCTCTGGCCGATGCAATCATGCAGCTCCCCCTGAAATGACCTATCAATCCGGCGCGGCGCGCAATTCTTCGCTGGGAGAGAAGCATCAACGACACCCTGCTCCTGCTCCCCCCCCCCCCCCTCACACTCCACAGTCCACACTCACCCAGCTCGATCACTATCAGTGTCGGTAAAAAAACACATTCCCAATCCCAAGCTACCATTTCTCGAGCGAAGAAACGGCCACTGTGCGACGCAACGCAAAGTTTGCAAGACCATGGCGAAAAGAAGAAAGAAAAAGGCACCTGGCCGAAGCATGGAATGCAATCAGTCCTATGCTGCCGCTGCAGCTGCAGCTGCATGCAGCAACCGAGAGCGAGAGCTAGCGTAGGAGTAGTAGTACCAGGTAAGGCTGTGCCTGGCTGCTCGCTGCGGCATGATCTGCAATTCCTGGCAATACGCAGGAAAGAGTGAGAGAGAAAGGAAGGAAGAGAGAGAGAGAGAGATGCGTGTGTCCAAGGAATTGCCGACTAATTGAGCTTTTCTGCAACGCGGTAAAAAAAGAAGGGAAAAGGAAAGCTAAGCGCACGCAGGGATGCTGCAGCAGCAGGGAGAGGGGGGGGGGGGGGGGGGGGGTAACCACGCTCGTGATGATTATACTCGCTCGCCTGGTGCAGTAGAAAAAAGACGGGCGAGCTGTGATGCTGTGTGTTCATCAGAATCGGCGCCCGTTTCCTGCGCCGCATCATTCTGCCTTTCGGATCTTTTTTCACTCACAATCTTTGCTCCATTTCGTGCTACAGTAGCTGTTACTACTACCCTCCTGTTGGCTGTTAGGCTGTGTTTAGTTTCACCGGCAAAAAATTTGCCGGGTCGCATCAGATATACGGACACACATTTGAAGTATTAAACGTAGACTAATAACAAAACAAATTACATAATATGTATGTAAGTTGCGAGACAAATTTATTAAACGTAATTAATCCGTCATTAACAAATGTTTACTGTAGTCCCACATTGTCCGATCATAGCATAATTAGACTTAAAAGATTCGTCTCGTAATTTACACGTAAATTATGTAATTAGTTTTTTTTAATATTTAATACTCCGTAAATGTGTTCAAACGTTCGATGTGATGGGGAAATAAAATTTGCTGATGGCCCCCCTTGTAAAATCAAAGGTGTTTTTGATTATTATTCTGTGATGAACAATTGGGCATCGTAGATTATTGGTTTTGTTATTTGGAATCTATTCACGAAGTGGTTTTGGAGATGATTGGATTTCACATGTGATCGCAGGATTCGTCATTTTATGTGACCGGTCAGACCGGGCTGTGTATGCCGGTCAGACCGGCGGTGATCGAGCGGTCGAACCGGCCAGCCCGCGGTTTGACCGGCCGACACTGTGTCGGTTTCGGTTTCGGGTTGTTTGTTTGGATATCCGTGATTATTTCATGATTATGACTTCTAGATGGATACTATACGTATGTAATACTGTTGTTTGCTACTAATGAGTTAAGTTGGAGATA